CACTCCGGACGCGTCCCTTGTGGCCTCGGAATAGTGCTGAGCATGTAGTTGGGAAGGGTTTTAGCTCCTCTGGACTGGGCAATTTGGGAAGTAGACTCTCCGGATCAATGTTTAGCTTATTCCTCCGAACTCTGGGTGCCAGGTACAGGTCAAGACAACGTTCAAATTTCTCCTTCACAAAAGCCTCAAACCCAGGAACTTTCCTGAGCGAGCCGTAATCTCTAGGCAAGAAAGACTTCTCGCGGTCCTCTGGGTCCTGTTTCTCCCATTCTCGTCTCTCCTTCTCATCAGGCAGATACTCTGGAGGGGGATGGTAACTCTCCTCGTACCCTGGCGGTGGTAGCTTCGGTGCAGGTATGTGCATAGGGTGGTCATCTCGGGGTGTCTCGTTGGCCCAGAGATCGAATGTTTGAATGCTATCCTGAGACTCGTCTTCTTCTGCTGGTGGTTTGTATGGCAATATTCTTCCTTCTCGAATTGCCTTTACTATCTTCATCACTCGCTTGGCCTCGTGTTTAGACGGTACGAATCGCCTCTTCGGCTCAGGAGCAGCGCTCAGGGGCATAACCTCCTCCTTGCTTGTGAAGTATTCAACTGTGGGCTGGTACGGGTCATACCCATCCTGAGTGACCTCGTTCATCTGAAGTTTGCTGAGTAGTTTGAGCTCATCCTGGCTCAATTGCAGAGGCTTGCCCGTGTCTGGGTCAGTCAGTCCAGTCCATCCCTTGGGTATTTCAATCGTGTCAAGCAGTGCATCCAATGCCTCCCCCTTAGCTGGGCGCATAATCTTCTTTCCATTGATGTTATATCCGATATGTGGGTAGGCGTCATAAAAGGAAGTAGGAATATTGCCAATGGTGTTGGCCTCCTCGTCGACTTCGGACAGATCCGAGTTATCGTCAGGGTTTATCTCATCGTAAATGTACCTATCGTTGCCATTTGCGTCTTTCGTTATGCGGTAGTTGACAGTCTCTTCGTCTTCGTCCTCTGAATCCTGAACCACAACCTCACCCGATTTGCCTAGCTTTCCATTTCTAGTGTAAACCGGCAACTCCTCCTTCGACACCAAATTACCGTCTATCGACTCGTCTTCGCTCTCGTCACTGAAGTCGTCTATCAGCTCAATCTCTGATTCCTCGTCCGAGCTCTCCGAACCAGACGAATCGAAGCGAAATTCCTCTCCAGAAACGACGTCAGTGTCTGCCTCAACGTCTTTTGTGACAGCCTTTCGCTTCTTGGACTCCGTCAACGGCGCCATCTTTAGAATCTCCCACTGTCCGGCCTCTTCTTCGCCTGTTCTTCTCCTGCTTCGTTTCTTCTTCTCATTGACTTTTTGTAGATTTTTTTTCTTAAAGTCAAGTAGTTAAAAAAAGAGTGGGTCCGAAGAGGAAGCTGCTTATATAAGAAGTTAAATCTCACGATGACATCAAAAAGTCGAAGGAAGCCAAAAAAAGAAAAGACAGCTTTCAAGCAGTTATATTGATACGTCGTTGAGAGACAGATAGTATTACCGGCAGGATAAAATATCCCAGTCTATATAGTTGTGACTGGAGTCTAGACCCATGGCAGGCGCAGAGCAAGGGGGTGTTAATTGGCTGGACGAGGCCATCAAGGAGGCAACGCGGCAATCTAGGCAGCTGGAAGAAACGCCCAAGAGACATGCGGCCTGCGATGAGTGTCGTGAGTGTTTATTCTGTAGTTACCTGAGGTCCTTTCCAAGGAGGATACTAACATTCATTAGGAAAACGAAAGCTAAAGTGCACGGGGGAAGCAGATGGGTGCACCCGATGCTATAGACATGGCCTGTATTGCCATTATTCGTTTCAGAAGCCGATGGGCAGGCCGCCCAAAACATATGCCACTTTAGCTTCTCTCGGTAATGGGACAGGATCTCCGAGCGTGGGGTTGACTGCCGAAGACCCTAGCCTGGCCTATAGCACACCGGATGCGCTGGGAGCACTGGAAGCCAGCAACATGTGCCCTGCAATCTACAAGACCTTCATGCAGAATACGTATGACATTCGGCCTGGCCCGTTCATGAGTGATGGACCCTTGTCAGGAAGTAGTGGGTTCCTACCAAATGCTACATTAGAGCCGCCTACAGCTACACCTGCGGCAACTATACCTCGTGAGATAGACTATTCTTCTATCTCATCGATGCTCACACCCACACCAGGGATGACACCAAGCACAAGCACGGATACAAATATAACCTCAAGTACAAATACAAGTTCAAATACCACCAGCTCTGGCCCGTCAGGTTTCCCCCAGATACTCGCCCCATGCCCCTGTCTGTCCCACCTATACTTATCCCTAAGCTCCCTTGCAACACTTAACTCATTCCCCCTCTCCCCCAACACCCTGATAACACTCTACAACGCCTCTAAGACCGCCATCGGGGTTCTTAGATGTAACGTTTGTCCTACTGCTTATAGTTCTGCAGTTCAGAATCTGATGCTTCTGGGCACCTTGCTCACCTGCATAGCCAATTCATGGCTCGAGATGTCGTTACGGGACGGCCAACAGCTGGCCATAGAAACCCTTGACCGGTCGTCCCTTGACTCGTTGCCGGCTGACGAAGCGGCCCGAACTGTCTACTTCAGGAATTGGCTGCGTGAGCTAGTACGGTATGGTGTGATAGGGCATGCAACACCTCCTAACGCACCTCTTGTGCAGAGCCAGTGTGAAGAGAGTCCAAATCTGCTCGGACTGGTAGAGGAGATGGAGGCGCGACAGAGGCGGTGGCATGCTGAGCGCCTGCCGATGGTTAATCCTAGTTGTCCACGGGAGGATGAAAATGGTTCTCCATCAAATAACGCGGCTGCCACTTCCACTGATGGTACGACCATCGAGCCTAAAGATCCTGATTTCCTGTGTTTGCGGATAGCTGGTAATGCTAGACAGATCATTGAACGGCTCGGATTCAGCGCAGAGGAGTTACGGAATAGAAACTGAGCTTTCCGACTGTAAATAGTGTTAGTAGTAATACTTAACAGTAAATATATATACATTTCAGCCGACTCCTGCCCGGGGTAGGGGTCATGCACATTCAACTCGTGGCTGTATTATAACCTTTTATATTGTCATTCACTTTTTCTCATAGCTAGAACACATGTGCATGCACCATTGAGTATCTGGGTATTCTCCGTATTTGGCGTATTTTTTTTTTGTAGTTTGCCTATTAGTTTTGAATTCGATGGATGTTGTCAACGGCTGTGGTATCAGGAGGGAAATCAGAGGGAAGGTAGACAGAGGCTGAGGCGAGGGAAATGGAGATCGAATGGAAGGTAAAAACTACTCATCATCGTCATCGTCAACGACATATCTGTGTTTTTTCCGTGCCTGGGGTGAAGCTTCTTTCTGGCCGGGCGATTGTGGCCTGGATGATTTACCACTGGGCTTCGCAGGCTGGACATCGTCATCAATCTCCCCCTCGGCATCCATGTCTTCATCCTCAGCTTCTTCCTCCTCTTCCTCCTCGTCTTCCTCGATTTCAGGCTCCTCATCACTTCCAACCAGAAACCCGTCGTCTTCATCATACTCGTCTTCACGCGTACGGCCTCTACGGTCGTAATCATCCTCTTCATCAGAATAAATCTCGTCACGACGACGAGGTTTGCGAGCACCAGGCCTCTTTGCTCCAGGACGGGATTTGGTACCGACACCCATATCTTCGTCTCCTTCGAGGCCGGCGATGGTAAGACCTGCTGCCCCCGAGCGCTGGAAGGCGGTACTTCGCCTGCCACGATCAACTTCTCGCTCAGCAGCGGCCTGTCTCTTACGAGCCTCACGCAGTTTCTCTCGTTCAGCCTGTTCGGCCTGTTTCTTCGCCAGCTCTGGATCCTGCTTGACTTCGATGATTGCTACGGACCCATCTGCGGTCTTCTTGCCGCTCCGTGAAGCTGCGGCGAGGGACTCTTGCAGTCTCTGCACTGCATCGTCTGTCTCGACTGTGGAGGGGAGGATGCTGAGGGAGGCGGTGATGCGGGAAGTGAGACGGATGACCGAAGATGCTTCTGCTGCCACACCCAAGTATGTGTGAGACTCCAGATCGGGGTCGTACTCTTCTCGCTTACCGGGCCGGCTGGACTGCGCGAGAGGTTTGGAGGATATCCGGTACTGTTCTGTGGGGTTTGAGGCAAGCTGGAGGGTCATGGAGCCGTCTGACCAGCGTATTATCCTGGCATTGGACTGGAGCTCGCTGCCGTCTGGACTGGTTCTCCAACAGAGCGAGGTAGATGCCGATGAAAAGGGCGGAGCAACATATGTCTCTGGATTGAAATCTTCAGACTCTATCGAGAGGAAGTTTGGTATAGCGCAATTGAACAGCTAGGAGCAGTACATTAGCATGTTATTCTATAAGGTGTCCCTGTTTAGGTCTCTGTGGGTTACCAACCTGTCCGTCTGTGGTCTCTGGCTCAGGAGCTCGTCCAAGGCTCAGGTCCATGATATTCAGTGTCCGGCCGTAGTCCATGGCGTCTTCTTCCATGGGAGACCCGGCCCGGTCGTATCGCCCTTCGTCGTCGCCGGAGTCGAGCTCGACGTCGTCCAGCTTCCGCCGTCTGTCTTGCCTGGCCAGTCAGTCAGTATCTGCCCAACCACGACGTCTCTGGAGTCAGCGCAACCTACACATCTTCCTCGTCCTCCTCCTCGTCTCCAGAGCCAAACAGGCCCATGTCACCGTCCTCGTCCAGCGCTGGCGGGCTGTTCTCCATGGCCTCGTCCTCGAGCTCGTCCTGCGCCTTTCGCGGCGACTCGTCCACGTCCATCGTCAAGGCAGCAAATGCACCACACTGACTAGTTAAAAGGAAAGGGTCACAGCCACAAGTACCGTCTCTCAGCTGTCTCTCAGCTGTCTCTCTGTCTCTCTGTCTGTCTGGCAGTCCTGGCTGGAGCTGTCAAAGGATGAAGCTGTCTGTCTGGAGGTGAAAACCGGCCCTTAGTAAATCCGAGATGGGTTCAACGCCTAAAGTTTGTCACAAACGCTGGCTTCACCCTGGATGATAACAAAACAGACACGGCATATAAGACAGAAACAGTGCAGCAGTGAAGAAGAAGAAGCAGAAGAAGAAGAAGAAGAAGAAGCTGAACAGGCAGAAGAGAGGAAACGCAGCAGAGAGCCTCGCAGTGACTGACAGACAGCCCTCTGTTCCCCCCCTGATTCCCCCTCTGCTGCTGCTATCAAAAGGACACTGGATCTCACCAGCCAGATCTCCCAGTGCGCCCGGACAATGTCAAACTTCTTCCAGAGCGTGTAAGTGGCCTCGACGGGCCTTCGATTCCCGTGCTTTTGTCTGTCTCTGGCGTGCGAAACATACTGACTGCAGCAGGCGGCAGGGCTTCGGTCGCGGGTCGAACAAGAGCAGCAACAACACCGCCGCCGCCAGCAGTGCCGGCAACACTGCCAGCAACACGCCCAGCGGCAGCATCAACAGCAACACCGCCGCCAACAATAACAACAACAACAACAACAATAGCAGCCCCGGCGGCCACAATAACAGCAGCAACACTCACAGCGGGAACAATGGCGGCAGCAGCCTGCAGCGGGCGGTCGACGGCGCGGGCTTCTCGCCTGGCTTCCCCCACGGTCAAGCAGCAATGCCCGCCCCTCCATCGGCCATGGACCAGCCGCCCGCGCAGCCCGACCAGCGCGACTCGATCAAGTACTTCTTCCAGGAGAAATACGCCTCGCTTAACGTCAAGGGCAACTTCCTGACCCTCTGTGCCTGTCCGAAGAACGTCGAGCTCGGCGAGTGGCTTGCTCACCAGGGTCAGTTGTGGCCCCCCTGTTTCATCTGCCAAATCTTGCCCATGTCAGATATCCAAGGGAGAGAACTCACGGCTAACACATATGGGCTACAGTGGTCGAACAGAACCGTCTGCTCCATGGCATGCTGCAGGTCATACAGGAGATCAACGGTGTTACCGGGTACCCGATCTGTAACGAGATGACATGTCCCACCATGTCTGCCGGGAAGTAAGTATATATATATATATAATCCATGAATGTATAACTCTGGTTCTGTTTCCTATGCTAACAATATTCAGTCTGACATACACCTGGCTGGTCGACGGCAAGGCAGCGAGGATATCGGCGCCCAAGTTCATCAACCGTGTCGAAAAGTGGATTGTCAGCAAGATCCACGACCCTGTCATGTTCCCTACCGACCCCGTCACCGCAACTCCCATCACCTTTGGCTACACCGAGCAGGCCAACGGAGAGGCCCCCAGCGGCCAGCCACAGCAGCAGGCCGCCGGCGACCCGTCACAGGACTGGATCGGCAAGTCGAGCGGCTTCCCGCCGACCTTCTACAAGGACTGCCAGGGCATCATGAAGCAGATGTTCCGCTGCTACGCCCATCTCTATCACGGCCACTGGGAGAACCCCTTCTGGCACATCAATAAGCACGAGGTGCTCAACATGTGCTTCGTCCACTTTGTCACCGTCGCCAAGTACTACAAGCTAGTGTCAGACAAGGAGCTCGAGCCCATGCAGCCCCTGATCGATATCTACACCAAGCAGGAAAAGATCCCTCCTGAAGCCCTTGCCGGTCACTGGGCTCAGCACTCCTCACAGTCTTGATAGTCATACTTGAAAGACCGTAAGATTCAACAAGAGG